ATTGAGTTCTCCCTGATCGACGGGCCCTCTCGGAACGTTGATATCCGTCGTATCGATGCTAACCCTTTGAAAGGGGCGCTCTACACGAGTGGGCAGCATCGTCCGAGGCATCTGTACCGGCGCCTTGTCCGCCGCGCAGGCCGGGCAATTCTGAACGATGTATTTCACATCTTCCCGAATTCCCGACCAGTACCATCCATTCTTTTCGATGGCTTTTTCCGTGTACTTGACCGCGAAATGGACCGCATCCTCCTCATGAGCGGCTCGTGTCCAATCGAACCTAGCAAGAGGGTGTGGAACCGTCAACCAGCTAGACTCTCCATCATCATCGACCTTCTGTTTTTGTAACGTCGGGCCCTGCCAGCGATAGTCTTGTACCCGCTCCGTGACTCTCCGCCGTTCGGCTTTGGTAAGTTCTGACAACGAGTCGCCTGACAGTCTCCGTAGCAACAGAAGGTCCGTCCAGGCTTCTGCCCGGCGGGCACTTGGCGCAAATCCGTCGGCTGTTCTAGCGTCTAGATACCGCTTCTCGGTAGGGACTTGGTCCGTTCTACAGTTGGGACAGACCCACGTCTTTTCACTTCGGTACCTAACGCACTGTCCGTAAGATTTGACCGTATGATACTGACTACACTGTACCCATAAAAGAAAACTGGGCCCTCCCGGATGTGACCCTTCTTGGTCCGGGATCATAGGCAAGGTACAGAAGAAACAGGGACTTTGGTGTGTTTCAGAGGACGAGTTGGGGTTAGACGAGAGAGCGAGGGAGGGGGATGAGAGCAGAGAGATAGCGTCGGCCATCTCCGATGAAACCTCCATTCCGGACTCAGGCGTCGTCCTTACGCAGCACGTGTAGCTCCCCGTAGTGCGGTTTCGTCGCCGTGACTTCTGGCCTCCACGGAATGAGTCGCTCGTTGGCGGGACACTTGTTGGGCGGCAGAAGGCGCGTTAATCCATCGGCGTTACCATGCTGCCGCGTGGCACGGTTGCGGATGTCGAAGTCATAGTCTTGCAGACGCACYGCCCACCTGCCCAGCGTCCCCGTGTAGTCCGTGTTGTTGCGTAGGGACAGCAGCAGCTGATGATCCGTAACCAGCACGAATTTCTGACTGTACAGATACGGTCGGAAATGCTGAATCCCCGACACAACCGCCAGGCATTCACCTTTGCACGCTTCGTAATTAGCCTGCGCCTGGCTCAGCGTCTTGGACGCATACTCAATGACGTGCTCCCTTCCGTCCTTGCCATGCTGAGTCAGCACCGCCGATATCGCCTGAGGCTGCCAGTCTGTGTACAGTGCGAACGGTCTTGTCGGGTCGGGGCGCGCCAACACAGGAGCAGATGTAAGAGCCTCCTTCAACGCCTGAAACGCCGCTTCGCATTCCGGCGTTCCTCTTTCTTCAGCAGGTTCGTGAGGGGCTTCGCTATGCCAACGAACCCCTTGATGAAGCGTCGGTAATAGGATGCCAGCCCTAAGAAAGCCCGATCCTGGGTGAGTGTGACCAGCACCGGGGCGTCTTGAACTGCTGCCACCTTCCTCGGATCCGGTTTTAATCCGTCGACCGTGACGATATACCCCAAGAATGAGATCTCCGACAAGAAGAACTCGCTTTTCTCCAAGGCCACTTTGAACCCCGCATCTTTCAGTGCATGCAAAACCCACTCAATGTGTTCCACGTGGTACTCGTGTGTTTTTGAAAAGACCAAAATATCATCCATGTACACAATCACGCAGAAATTGATCAGGGGCTGGGTCAGTCGGGTTTTGTTAACGAACTCAGCGAAGGCCATATTCATGGCCCGCTGAAATGTTGCAGGGGCGTTACAAATTCCCATGGGACACCGAACCCATTGCCACGTGCCCTCAAACAGGACAAAGGCGGTTTTGGGTCGGTCCTCCGGCCGGACTGCGACGTGGTGAAAACCGTGTCGGATATCGAACTTGGAAAAGACTCAAGCGGCCCCGATAGCATCTAACAAATCATCGATTCGCGGCAAGGGATACACATCTTTGGTAGTGATGGCATTCAATTTCCGGTAGTCGATACATACCCGAACCGAGCCATTTCGTTTTGGCACGAGGACCACGGGAAAAGACCATGGTCCGAGCGATGGCTCGACCCACCCCAACCGCTCGAATTCCCGTACCCTTTCCAACGCCAGCTGCCTTTCTTCAAGGGAATATCGGTACGGTCGGCAATGTATCAGGGTGTGATCCCCGGTGTCAATCGCGTGTTGTATCAAAGGGGTTAGCCCTATGTCGTGGTCCCGAATACTGACGGCCTCCGGATAGGCCCGTATAACCGCCAAGAGGAGGCGTTTGTATTCGTCCGGAACACGGGATGGTAACTGAACTTCTACGGTTCCCCCAGGAAAGGAGACCGTCGTCGTAACCATGGGGACCGCCGCGTTGGCATCGGGCGAGACCCCAAACAAAGAGTTGTCGGTTTTCGCCAAAAGGAGTGCTGCAATAAGTTGGCTGTCCGCCGGACTCATCGACTCGCTTTCCATGTCACTGTCACTGTCCAGTTCGGGTTCGGCCGAGGGTTCGACCGAAAAGGCCTGCGCCAGTTCCCTCGGTCCCCACCGATACTCCCTCGTTCGGGGTTGAAACGACACCCCCTCTTTCAGGAGTATCGCGACTTTTTCATTCGTGAGTAGGGGTCGTGGAGGTCAAAAAGATAAATCGCACAACCCCCTCAGATCGGTAAATCTTTCAGGTAGGGGGTCCGTCCTGAGATACAAGGGCGCAGGGGGTTCCAAAAGGTAAGCTATTCGGGACACCCTCAGCAGGGGTTCCCCCTGCACCACGGAGGAGAACGCGTGCGACCAATTGGACAAGCTCCGAACTATTTCTAGTGGTTCTCGCCGCCAAGAATGGCGCCACCGATCCTGAACTCGGATCGGATATCGGTCGGGTACATCAGTCTTGTCAGTTTCCGTCGAGGGCTCATTTTCGTTTGGTGACAGGCGTCGGATCATGTTGATTCGATGGGCTTTCGTGGTAAGGCGAGGCGTCGGCTGGGTGCGCATGCGCACCGCCAGTCTCATTGGTATCGTTTGGGGTTTGGGGTGGGCCGATGTGAGCACCACCTTACAGCTGTCAAAGTGCATTCGCGCTCCGACCGCTACCTGACACGGAATGCCTAGCAGAACATCATACGCCTGTACATCCAGCACGATCACGTCACACAAACAATGCACCCGCCTCACCCGTATAGGCACGTTCGTTATTCGCCCTTTACAATGAATACTATCTTCCGTAGCGGATATGTACAGTTCATCCGGTCGAAGGGGCTGAACTTGTCCTTCCCTTCCCAATTG